TTCACACAGTTTAACAAACACATACTGTATTGGTAATGTCGTATACTACAATAGCTGCTTGCGCTCCTCTGTAGTACATGGGGGCCAGACTGTGGTACCTCTCCTGCCCAGCGGTATCCCAGATCTCAAACTTCACTGTTGTATCGTCCAAACATACGGTCTGTGTTAGGAATGCAGCTGAGGACAGAAGCACACACCAAAATTTTTTTTACAAAAAATGAATTGACACTTTATCAGTACAATTTGAATTCACATATGAAATGAATGTAAAAAAACAATTTCCCACAGTAAACAGATTCTTCCTTTTTGAAAGTAAGTGTTCTTACAGACATAAGATGTTTTAGGTGATGCATGTATGGTCAGACCACACTGCACAGAATATTACTGGATATCGAGTTCTTAAAAGGTGTATTAAGCACCAAAGGTTTTTGATCCAGGGAATATCAGATTGCCTTATGGGATCAGGAAGTAATCTCCCCCCGTTGGAGCAAAGTTGAACCATGCTTTATAGGGTTTTTTTTGGCTTCCTCTGGATCAACGGTGTGTAATTGTGGGCATAGCATTCCGTTTTAGGTTTTTCTTCCTTTTTTCTCTATAGGTTGAACTCGATGGACTTGTGTCTTTTTCAACCTGACCGACTATGTATTCGGCAATGAGACTGCAATGCTTAGCTGAATTAACCTGTAAAATGTTCCAAGGCTGGATGAAGGCCTATTAGGGGAGCAAGAAAATATGAACCCATTGGGGGGCATCCCAATAGTCCGGAACTGAGCAGAATTTATAGTGGCTCGGAAAAGCAGATGTTTGTTTTATTTTATGGACTTGCTGTACATAATACTGCTTGGACTTTTTCTGGGTATCCTTGTCTAATGCATAATTTACTGCTGCCAATACCAGTTGAGCATGTACAACTAGGTGCTTCTATGCAAGCAGTGCCTTGAGAGTAGACACTTACTGCTGAACAAGATAGAGAAACTAGCAAAAACAGCTCTTTTGGCAAATACTAACAAGCAAGAGGTGAACTGGTTCACCGTCCAGCAGATGCAAGAGCTGACTGTAGCCCACCAGTCCTCCTTAGAGGGACAGGAGACAGTCAACCTATCTTTAAAGCAGCTGACACAGGGAGGCAGATTGCGGTGTAGGGGTGGACTTCTATGATTCAACAGCTGGTGCAGATGCTTTAGAGAAATTGTCCCTAGAGGATGATATTGAAGCTTACCTTTGAGAAAGTCACTGAAAGTGAAAAGCTGCCCCAGGAGCAGTGGGCTGGTATGCAATCACCCTTAATCAAGGAGCCACAAAAGGCCTACTTTTGACTTACAACCTGAGCATGTCAAGGTGTACCTTAAACTCAAAAAGGAGACATCATAGCCTGTCTCTGGGTTACCATAGCTATCCAAACACTGTATGTGTGTTCACATGAGAGTAGAACCTTGGGAAGTCTAAAAAGGTCCTAAAATGTACGATTTGCCTTGCCTGTTAAGATACAGCCCTGCATTAGGCATACAGACCCCCAAGAGTGTGGATTATCTGGTGTCCTATGTGAAGCAACACGCTGCTACTAAGGACCATCTTTGAAATCTGCCCTTCAAACCAATAAACCCAGGAAACAGGAAAGCAAGCCTTGGGCAAGACTGTTCTTTTTAATCAAAAGGGGCAACTGGGTGGTGGGGGGTGCAAAATAGCTATGGGTGCCAGATAAGCACAGCCTCCTAGCCCAAAAGGAGTTTCTTCCTTGAATGAACATTGCATATTTGGTGCTGGTGGTGCCAAGGACTGGGAGATATCCTATAATACAGGTGCCTATGAACTGTGACCTAAGGAGGTGTATGTCACCATTTACCAACCCTGTGTGGAGCAGGAACAAACAGTGGAAGGCCTATTACAATAATAGACCATCTGGTGCAGTCATGGTCCACCTGACACAGACCAAATGGGAGTACTTTGTAAACATTAAGATGCCAAAGACTACACTGACAGCACCACAGCAGGGTAGGCACTTTGTGAAACTGTAAAGCACGGTAGTGGTGTGGTTAAGAACTTGCTATACAATGCAAAACTGGGTTGTGATTTTCCCAAGTTTTGGTAACTGGAGAAAACAGGTAACCAGTCCTGGAAATGTGTCTGAAGTAAATTATGTTCCTATCTTGCCTGAACTTGGGAGGTCACTGCTGACACCCCTACATCAGAGGTACCCAACACATTCCCACAAGTAATCATGGCTGCTGAGAGAGTAAAAATTGTCCCAGTGCCAAAAATGACAGTGGCCAGGCAATATTTTAGGACCACACAGACGCTAGCCTGGTATGCTCTCATTTTGCAGTATACCAGGAAGAAGGAAAGGGAACACGTTGTGAGAAACTGGTGGTGCCCCGGTCTCACTAAAGAATGGTGCCTAATAAGGTCCATTCCCAAGTGTTTAAGGGTTGCTATGGATCTGGTCAGGTCACTGCCAAAGTCTTACAGGGAACACTAGTTCTTAGCAATGCAATTCAGTATCTAGAAGCAATCTCTCCCAGAAACATATGCACTAAGGCAGTGGTTCTCAACTTCTGTAACCTCAGGACCCACATTTGTCCTTGGTCATTAAGTCGTGACCCAAGTCGGACTGCTATCAAACTGTGGGTGGGAGGTGCATTTGGGATGCCATTCAAATGAATGGCAATGTAACACCTCCCACACCAGAACTCCTGGTAGGTGCGATTGCATGGTACAGCGACATGAGACTGTGATTATTGCACTGTACTAGTGTGAACGGGCCCTCAAAACACACTGACCGAAATAATCTCACATACACTCCAAAAAAATAACGTATTTGCCGACGTATAAGACGACTCCCTACTTTTTGTGTTAAAATATAGGTTTTGGGCTATACTCGTCGTATAAGACGAGTATAGCCCAAAATAATGTTTAAATGCACCCACTAACCTCCATGGCGGTATTCCCGAGTGTGGCTCTGGGTTAATTTTCAGTACCATAAGCGGTACCCCCGAGCCACACTCGGGATTACAGTCTCTTACCTTGTCCACGATCCCCGCTGTGTCCTCAGTCTTCCATTGAGTCAATCACGGCAGGCTTTGTATTAATGAAGACAGGCTTTGTATTAATTCATACAAAGCCTGCCGTGATTGGCTCAGGATCTTTAAGATCCACCCAGTCTCCCTACCATACGAGAACTGGAGTGGATCCTCAGCCTGAGGACCAGTGTTGGCTGCTGTGCTGGACAGAGCTCCATCCATTTGTGCAATGCTTGTAGAACTCACTGGTGTGCCCTGTAGAGGTTCCGGGAGCCAGAATGTGACGTCACTCTAGTGCAGGCACCTCTACAGAACACATAAGGGAGCTGTACATATGAATGGAGCTCCCTCGTGGCCATAGCCGCAGCCGACTCAAGCTGACACGCGGTTCTGGGCAGCATATTTTGGTGTAAGAACTGACAGTGCTGCGCTAGCGGGTGGATGAGGAGCCTCTCATCTAGAACAGTGAAAGGCTCGCCGTGACCCACTGAACATGGGGTCACGACCCACCAGTTGAGAATCAAGGCACTAAGGTAAAAGCAAAAAAAAAAAAAAAGAAGATTTGTCTCCCTATGTTTTCCTATACTGTATTTGCCAAAAGAAATTTTGACTTGACAAAAGGAATTATTTGGTTCAAGTAACTAAAGAGCTGTGTCTGTTAAAAAGGTCTCTCCTTTTTAACAGACATGACATTGATACTCAATGTATCACCCCAAACTCATGGGTTCAACAACTTCAAGAAGCTATACAAAAGTCCAAATTGAATTTTTATCCCATGTCCCAGGTGGATGCATTTGTAAAAAGGTTTTTGCCTTGCCAGGTATATTACCACCCTTGATGTTACTCACGGGTTCCCTTAACAGCCAGGGCGATGGGGGGAAAAAAAAAAGAAGAAGACAGCTTTTGCAGTGACAGACACCAGGCTGTACCAGTATGTGGCCTTCCCTTTCGGCTACTGACCTTATTCTAAAGAATGATGGACTGCATTCTTAAGCCCCATAAAATGAGATGATCTCTCTGCATATGCTTTAAAGTCTTGAGAGATTCCCAACTTACAGAGAGTCTAGGTAGTTCTACATTGCATTCCAAGGGCCAGGTAAAATGGCCAAGCCCAAAGAAAGAAGAATAAAAAATAAAATGGGGCCATGGGTTCTGGGCTGTAATCTGTTTTTACTATATGATCTGTAGAGCTTTAGGTGGGATAAAGCCTCCTTACTAGGTTCACATCTTACAAGGTGGCCCGAGTTCATTGCGCTAGGATATATGGCAAAAATAAAAATTAATTAAATTAAGACTAAAAAACCCAACATACAAAGAAAATAACAATAAAAAATATAAATATAAAAATAAAATATAGCCAAGAGATCCAGCTGCAGCAATATCTATCAAAGTGATCAATTATAAACCGGTGTGCTGCGCTTGGTTTTGTGATGCGTGCTATGTTTAATCCTTAAATTATGTGATGCTTGTGATACCACAAACTGAAAGCAGTACAAGTGATCGACTCCTACTTGCAACTGTATGCAATCCAAAAGTGCGTGTGTGCATATATATTAATAATAAATATACGTGTCATATAAATACAAATATAAATACTAGATAGTTAGTTGTGACCCAAATATGTAAATAAGTTAGTCATATATGTGCCATAAAGTGAAAGTACAGTTGTGAATTCACAACTGTACTTTCACTTTATGGCACATATATGACGAGTTCATTATTAGTCTCAGCTTTCCACAGGCCTTTATATATGCAAGCCGACTGATGTTAAGGGCGCTCTCTGTGCTGTGGAAGTCTGCTTCTGTGCAAAAAGGCTAAGTACTGAGAGAACACTGAAAATGTGCCACTGTTTTGGGGAACCCATTAGGGGGCACCCTGTTGGTCAGGAACTGAGCCAAGTTTAGTTAGTGGCTCGGATAAGCAGATGTTTTGTTTATTTTATGCTATGGGCTTGCCCACCTGCACTGAAACTGCTTGTCTGCTGCCTTGCTGAAACAAAATGCAGGACAAACTTGCTTGGACTGATCCTGAGTGTCCCTATCATGTGCATGGTTTATCGACGCCAATACCAATTCAGTATATCCCCTTTTAAAAAATAAATATATATTGCCCACACACACACACACTGGGGGGAATTTATCAAAACAAGAGCAGATAGACACTGGAGCAGTTGCCCATGGCAACCAATCGGCTTCTCTCTTCAGTTCGTTCAGTTAAAATTTAAAAATGAAGGATGGAAGCCGATTGGTTGTCATGCACAGCTGCTCCAGATTTTGACAAAGTCCCCTCACTGTATATACATACACACACTGATCTGGACAGGGAGAGGTTAAATGGAAAGTCAGTGCTGTACTGTACTTTTGACTTAATCAGCTGACATTACAAGATGGAATGAAAAAACCTGCTGACTCTCTTCCTTTCCTAGTGAGCAGGGAGAGTTTCCTGTCTGGAAGTACCGTGTACAGGAACATAGTCTTTGACGGATCCTCTGTTCCACAACAGGCATATCTCAACAAACAAGGGGCTTTAGCAATAAGGTACCCAAAACTAAATTATATTAAAAAGGGAGTGTTTATATAAAGAGTATCTTCAGGCAACACGGTGAAAGAAAACAGCAAGCCATCTATGCCAAACAGCAAATATGCTACAGTGAGAAAGTAGACTCACTTTACCTCTATACGAGTTCTTTGTACATGCTGCTGTTACAGAGTCAGTAGACATGAACTCCCTGAATCCTGATCTATACAACTTACTCTCGCTCTACACTTCCTGTATCACCAATCACATTAAAATGAGGTTTGTATCTGATCAGTGGCTGTTAGACTCTTCTTAGAACTGAATTTGTTTTTTAAAGATCAGGCTTTTGTTTATTTTATGCTATGGGCTTGCCCACCTGCACTGAAACTGCTTGTCTGCTGCCTTGCTGAAACAAAATGCAGGACAAACTTGCTTGGACTGATCCTGAGTGTCCCTATCATGTGCATGGTTTATCGACGCCAATACCAATTCAGTATATCCCCTTTTAAAAAATAAATATATATTGCCCACACACACACACACTGGGGGGAATTTATCAAAACAAGAGCAGATAGACACTGGAGCAGTTGCCCATGGCAACCAATCGGCTTCTCTCTTCAGTTCGTTCAGTTAAAATTTAAAAATGAAGGATGGAAGCCGATTGGTTGTCATGCACAGCTGCTCCAGATTTTGACAAAGTCCCCTCACTGTATATACATACACACACTGATCTGGACAGGGAGAGGTTAAATGGAAAGTCAGTGCTGTACTGTACTTTTGACTTAATCAGCTGACATTACAAGATGGAATGAAAAAACCTGCTGACTCTCTTCCTTTCCTAGTGAGCAGGGAGAGTTTCCTGTCTGGAAGTACCGTGTACAGGAACATAGTCTTTGACGGATCCTCTGTTCCACAACAGGCATATCTCAACAAACAAGGGGCTTTAGCAATAAGGTACCCAAAACTAAATTATATTAAAAAGGGAGTGTTTATATAAAGAGTATCTTCAGGCAACACGGTGAAAGAAAACAGCAAGCCATCTATGCCAAACAGCAAATATGCTACAGTGAGAAAGTAGACTCACTTTACCTCTATACGAGTTCTTTGTACATGCTGCTGTTACAGAGTCAGTAGACATGAACTCCCTGAATCCTGATCTATACAACTTACTCTCGCTCTACACTTCCTGTATCACCAATCACATTAAAATGAGGTTTGTATCTGATCAGTGGCTGTTAGACTCTTCTTAGAACTGAATTTGTTTTTTAAAGATCAGGCTTTGTGTAGTCAGGAAGAAGCAAGGAGCCTGCAGTGGGTGTTCCAGCATCACAAGCAGGTGCCTTGTAGGATAACTGAAGTAACAAAAGGGAAGACTGGTGCAGCAAGCCAATATCTTAGGTAATATGTATATAACCTGGGCTCCCTGTACGCCTCTTAAGATTTAATGTTCAGTTCTGATGAGAGTGTAACCAAACAACTTGCCATTGTTCTGACAGATCAGTCAAGGTATAGCTATGCGCGCATGTCAGCAGCATTTGCTTCAAACATTTGTGCAAGGTACTTTGATATGTTATAAACAGTAATCCACAAGTTTAGATTTACTGCAGTACAATATATGGGATACCAGAACAAAAGATTGTCTGCAACAGCTTGAGTCCGGAAAACACTCTAAAAAGGTGAAAGTCCATTGTTTGTTCTCACAATTCAGGCATTTAACTTCCTGCTGAAGAAAGACTCCCTCATAAGTAAATAAGCTAGGACAAAACACGTAATGGAAACAGAAAGTGATGAGGGCAGTGTTAATCTGCTCCTGCACCACACCTTGGCCTTTGATCAAAGTACGTGTGCTGTGATCTGTCCGTTAACCCGGCTGGGATTTTTTACCTTAGTGATAATTAACTTACCTCCAATTGTGCTCTCTTGGTACTCGTGGAACTGACCCTTGACAAAACGCAAGACGAGACTAGATTTCCCCACCGCTGACTCCCCTAGTAAGACCAATTTGAACTGGCAGATTTTGTTGCCGGCAGCCGGCCCGTTTGGTCGAGCATTTCCGCCTCGACCGGCCATTTCCCTGCGATATCGGAGAACTGCGACAGCAGAAGACAGTAGCGGCGTTGAAGGCACAGGAGGTGATGGAACAGGTTTGGTGGCTCACAGGAGGATAGCCTTACGGTCACACAGCTATACAAAAGCAAAGAAAAAAAAATTGTCAACATTTCAGAAAAGAAAAAAAAATTGTCAACATTTCAGAAAAGAAAAAAAAATTGTCAACATTTCAGAAAAGAAAAAAAAATTGTCAACATTTCAGAAAAGAAAAAAAAACATAACAGAAAAGTAAAGTGTAATCAACTTTGTAAATAGGACTGGAAAATCGAGGAGACCGTCACTTCAACCTACGTGTCACCAAGCACGTCAGTTGACCAAAATGTATACTTCAACATCAGCATTTTGTTAGGGAGAGTTAAAGCATCCAATAGGCAAAGGCAATTATGGCAGTAGGTTTGCCTGGAACATGTGTCATGCAATAAATACACAACGCCATTCAGGTCTCATTTACAACGGGCAATTTGGGATTCCTGCCGTAGGCGGTCGCATCTGTAAGCGGCAGCCCGCATGTGTCATTGTTGGCGATATTACATGCGATTTTGAATAGATCACTGTCCATTGACGCATCTATCCTGTGTTCGGCAACAGTGATCTATTCAGCATCTAAACAAGACATCTGGGACTCCTACGGGTTTTCACTCTCTCGCTCTTTAGGCTTTTTTTTTAAAACTTTATTTCCACTTGGTAATCTGCAAATAGCACACTACCTGAACCTAGGTGGATATGCACACTCCTCCACGGTATTTATGGGGAACTATGGCTGCCATCCAGACTGGACCATAAACATAACTATCTTTGTTCATCACTACGTGAGCAATGGGGAAATTACTCGTTTACAAAAGAAAGATAACACCGTTATGGATTTCAGTCAAGGACATGGCATTTCTGACAAGATCAACAGATCATTTCTGTACTTGACGAAAATGTTCTTAGCATGAATAAATTAAAAACAAATGCAGCCACCACATTTTTGTTTTTTGGTTTAGATATCCTTTACATTTCCAAAACATTTTACACATTTTCTATTACTACACTGTTTTTTACAACTAACACTAGACTCATCAATCATATAGAGCTGCAGCTAACGATTATTTTCCAAATCGATTCGTTAGCCGATTATTAAGTTCGATTAATCGGATAAAAAATGAAAGACATTTTAAAAAATGGCTCCATTGATTGGGGCGGGCGGTGAGCGTGAGGCAGGGAGGAGGTGCGGCGCGCAGCGTCTGTGGAGCCGTGAACAGGGCCAACCAATCGGTAGCCGATTAATCGATGATTGAAAAAGTTGACAACTTTTTCAATCATCGATTATAATCGATTATGTTGATTAGTTGTTGCAGCCCTAATTACATACAATGACTGAAAGATATAATTCCTAAACAGGAAGCCCAGGAATAACCTGCTGCATGTTCTATAGCACATGAATATTTTAACAGACCACAAGCCATAGTGATAGGATGGTAAGACCTATATCCCAAATCTTGTCAGAAGATGCTCCAGTGTTCCCAGGATCATGCTGGAAGGATCGCAACATTGCCCTCATCTAGGAGCTGCAGGCAGAAGCTGGGAGTAATTCAAATATTTTCTAACTTCTCTCCTCCCACATTATTATTTTTTTATGTAAATGATTTGTAAAGGGGTACCTGATGTAATAAAAGGGCCGTGCATTTAAGCGCAAGATCTGCATTAACTCGTGATATACTGAGCTTTGGGTGACGGGAGGACGCTAGTTTATGTGCTCCCGTGACCCTTAGGAGAACTATGGGGAAAAACACTTACCCCATAGTTCTCTTTTAAGACAAAATTTAAGTTTGTATCGAACAGAGTGGTGAAAAGTTCGAAGACATGTTCAGTTTTTATTGCCGTCTCCATCACCATTAGGAAGATTCAACCTCTATTTGTAATCATGACCGTTGTCACTGGGAAAGAAAGGGCCAATTTTCTAAGAGGGCCTCTCCAAGGCATTTGGGGGCTGTTGATCAACAGAGAACCAAGTGTAAAGTATAGAATATAATAAAAAAAGTCACCAGCACAAAGTATACGCACGTTTTGTTGAATTCTCACATGCGTCATAGAGCCAAAGTTTCAAGGCCCACGCAGGGTCCCTTCTTCTGGGCGACATAGTGCCCCCTATGTTGCCCAGAAGGGACCCTGCGGGGCCCCAAAACATTGGCTGCATAACAATTCAATAAAAAGTGCTTATACTTCTTGCACATATTACAGAGTGCTGGTGACTTCTATTATGGACTACATCTGACACGGCGCCATCTGTGTTGTCACTTCAAGCACCAATCGTCCGTGAAGATCTACATGGTGTATGGAGTGCAGGTGACTTCTTGATATTGGACCCAAGTGTACCGCATTCATCTGCACCAAGGTAGAATATCAGGAATATGCAACCTTCTTGGAAAGAGTATTCTAGTTGGAGAAACTAAAGGCTTAGAAGTTAAGATTTGGAAATTGTTTCAGTGTTATCATTACTGAACAAGACTTATAGCAAATCGAGACTCATCTGCTTCCTGGGATTGTGCGGAGAACATAGCCACTACTTCCCCTGCACATGAGGAAGTGAGGTTGAGTAAAGTTACTCACACCATCTCTGATTTAGCAAGTGCTGGACATTCAGATACACTTATTTACCAGTATATAACAATTGTTAAAGGGCCACAGATACTGTGTGATAAAAGCTTCTGAGGCTTCACAAAACAGGGGAACAAACAAAACAAAAAACAGAATCTGAAAACAGAGGGATTCTTATTCCCCGAGGGAAACTCTGGAAATAAATCTAGATTCATGGTGCAATTAAAAGCTGGCAAAGAGGCTGGTTGGAGGGAAAGCCTTTCCTCTAAAATTCTAAGTCCTACTTACCTGGAATCTTACTATTTAATTAAAACTTCCAGGAAAACAATAATAGCACCATTGGATAGTGGGATAATGGGTGAGTGTGCCTTAGCTTTAGGGGACCCTACTCTCCCCCCTCCAAGTCAAAAGGTCAAGAAGGCATTCAGGGGCATAATATACCGAAGGGTTCCCAGGGGAAACTAAACTTAGGGAATACTTATCATTAGAAACATTCACAAGGCTGAAAAGCCAAAAAACTTTTTGTTCTGTGCAATATCCACAACAGGAAGTGAGAGGAAATCAGATCGAGAGGGAAATCCCTGGTGGCCAGCAGGGTCACCATTGGCAGATTGGTTATTGGAACTGGAATAGATGGGCAATCAAATTTGGGGATTTTCTTTTACTTACAGTAATAACAGTCACCAGGACACAGGGGGCGAATCTCCTTATTGGGGACACACAGCAAAAATCCCTCTCCACTATATCCAAAATTAAGGGGAATAAAATAAAAAATATATGTCTTCAAGTGATAAAGGATTTTAAAGTTATTTTAAATGCTGATGAAATCACTTACAATGGATGTTTAAAGGTTTACTCACTCCTTGATGTTTAAAAGTTTGAGTTTCCTGCAGAATCATCTGGTCCCCTAATCACTGGTCCTGACTTCCGGTTTTAGAGTGACTCCTTTCTCAAGCAGAGTGCTATGCAGTCACCCTTGTGTGTGCGCTAGAAAGCTGTGCGTGTCTCCACAAAAACACACAGACAAAGCAAGGTGAAGCCACCCCCCGGGAGACTGCTCTGTCCCTCGTGATCTTGTACTGGACATGAAGTTAAGGGAAGCCGAGCTGAGAGATTTGGAGCTGTTTAGAAACATCGTCACTGTAAGAGCTTTGGCAAAAACTTACAGGAATACGTTGCTGGGCACTTATTGTTTCACCACAAACAGCAATTCAAGCTACTCCCCCTTGGCCCCCCACTCCAAGCTAGTCTGCACTGTCCTTTGTGATCTTGTACTAGACAGGAAGTTCAGGGAAGCTGAGAGATGTGAAAGCAACTGTTGAGAAACAATCATGTAAGCGTTTGGTCAAAAATGTAAAGCAATACTTTGCTGGGCAATGTATATTTGTTTGAACTGAATTCATTAATTGAAAAAAGTTTTGAGAGTTGAATACTACTTTCAGTTGCACTTTAACTTTAAAAGACCACACTTAAGATTTGAAACTACACCAACCACACAGGATACAAAAATAAGACCCGCTTATGGGGTACCATGCTTTTAAACAGCCATAACACAAGAGGAAGAATTTTAAAAAAAGGAAGCGACTACTTTCTCTCCTTAGTATACCCTAGCCCTCAATGTCAGGGCACAGACAGCACGTCTCCCACTGAAAGACAATTATCCTCAATCAGGATGGGCACAGACAAAGTATTAGTATCTTACTTAGGAGAGCCAGGTACTGCATGGTTTCAGTTCTGACATTAGAAGCTTAAAAGGAGAACTTGTGCTTTTCACTCACCTCATAGTTCTAGCCGACCTGTGACAATGAGACGGTCACAGGTCGGCTCAGTAGATCAGGAGGTGAGCGAACACATACCGGCGTTCGCTCACCTCTCGATCCCGTCACAGCTCTCTGCCGTGACAGGGGAGGGGCTGGATTCCCCCCTCCCCGATCCGCCAGTCTGACTGGTGAGGGGTGCGTCCGACGGGTGAGGGGGCGGGTACAGCTGGCTCTGCCTCTAGATAGGCAGAGCCAGCTGTCACTCACACAGCTGGGCGGATCTCGACATCGATGTCGGGATCCGCTCCGGCGTCTCAGTATACCGCGAGCTGTAGCTCGCGGTATACTGAGCTTAGGGTAACAGGAGGATGCTAGTTTGTGTCCTCCCGTTACCCTAAGGAGAACTATGGGGAAAAGCGCTGACCCCATAGTTCTCCTTTAATAAAATATCCTTTAAAAACAGCCTAATAAATGATCCAGATAAAATCCACATATTTTTTTTCAGCCTGTTGGGATTGAAAAAAAACCCAAAAACCTGCAGGTATAAAATCAAGTAATGGAAACATTGTAACACTAGTAACGATTACTCAAAGCTTAAAATTCGACATATTAACTGTTATCATTTATTTCCTATGTGAGTCACTTCTGCTTTTCTATTAAAACTAAAAGTCGTGTTTGTTTGTAATGGGCAGTGTTCATAAGCCAGAGCTAGAACATCTGTAACCTTGAGAAAGT